CATCTGAATGTGGCAGCAGAAATCCAGACTCATCAGACCAGGCAATGTTTTTCAAATCTTCTGTTGTCCAATTTTGGTGAGCCTGTGTGAACTGTAGCCTCACCCTCAGCTACTTTTGCCTTTCTATCATCTTGAACCAGTCTGGCCATTCTCCTCTGGCCTCTGGCATCAACAAGGCATGTCTAAATGCATTGAGTCGCTGCCACATGATTGGCTGATTAGCTATTTGCGTTAACAAGCAGGTGTACCTAATAAAGTGGCCGGTGAGTGTATAAATGTATTATTGCACATTATTGCTAAATCAGAGAAGCATATTCTTATTTTTCAATGGAACAAAGCATGTGCTTTTGGAGACTCCCAGTTGCGCCCTCTCAGTAGCCAATGACAGAGAGGAAAATGTTGTGCAATGCATAATTATAATTTCCTTTGAGGCTGACAATGCCACAGGCATTCATCCCATGGGTGCAACATTTGAACAGACCTGCCCACAAAGGCTTGGGAATGTCACTGAAAAATGATCTGATATGCTAATGCCTCCTCGCTTTGCATTTCTTTTAGTGCTGAGTCCTTTTTTTCACTGCATCTGGGAGTCACATGTGCTTGTCATCAAAGTTATGATAAGGTCTAAAGGAAGAAATATACGGAGACAGTGATTAAGAAGTGTAGAAGGATAGCAAAAGAAAGACAATGCAAAAAAAGGGACACCAGCTGTATTCGATCCTTTCACACTAGACAAACCTGCCCATTTACATACAAACAAAATCCCACTTGATAACAACCTCTCTTATCAAGGTGTTCACTCACAGTTGGATCTTGCAACAACATATTAGTTAATAAACAGCTTATCTGTAAGCGATTACCGAGGCGAGATCATAAAATGCAAAGCTACAGATTGTGTGTATCCACATTATCAACACACAGAGGAGCAGAGGCTTTAGATTGATGCTGTTTTGATTATGTGTTAGTGGTTTTATTTGGGGCTAACATAATGAGGATGAACTTTACTGCAATCTCCTTAGCTTCCCTTCCTAGACAAATCTAATAGTCGATTTAAAGTAAACAGGAAATGAAAAAAAAATCTGGTGGTTCATTAACTTGAGAGGTGGAATTTTAGGTGCGGCCTTCCTTTGGTTTTTATTCAGGAACAAGGCTCTAAAGACTCTGAATGTTACAGTCAGTGAGCTGAGTTTAACACACCTCAGGTGAGGGGAAGTTGCTGGGCATGGTGTAGCCCAGAGGCTTTGTGACCAAAGCCTCGCCCAGGATGGAGATCAAGTAATGGGCCATAAGCTTCTGTTGGTCCACGGTGCAGTGATTCTCCAGGGACAGGATCACTGGGTAGTCTGATGTCTGAAAAAACAAAGGGAACAATAAATAAGTGATGGGTGACTGTCCCAATGTGAAAAGCATTGATGGAAATTAAATGCAATCATAAATATGCCACATGCTTTGAAGGCGAAGTCTTTGATGGCTTTGATGACGTCTCTGAAGAGCACTTTGGATGTGAGTGTGTAGCCGTGGTAAATAACAGGCTCGCCGTTATCCCCGTCCCAACAGTCCAGCTCCACACAGCGACAGCTCTTCATCAGTGCTCTGCAGGGGAGGAATACCTTCATGAAAACCTGCACACCAATGTGATCACTCATGCTCTTTTATACATCACAAAAATGTTTGTGTCAGTTTTGGCTGCTGGGCCATAGTTTCTGCTACCTAAAAAATCTGCTCCCTACAGTGTGAATCTGTATTATTAGTGTCTGTGATACAATTGCTTCTCAGGGGTAATAAAGTTTACCTTGACCTTGACCGTAAATATTAGAATTTTTCTTTCCCAAAACAAAATTATGTCGCTAACTCCCTTAGTACTAGTATAAAAAAGCTGAAAGGAGCAAGAGAAAACTGACTTTATTTGCTGTCAAATTTTAATGCTGATACTAAGGCATGCCAAGGCCAAGGTCAAGGTATGTTCGCGCTCTCATGTATTCAAAAGTCTTACCGTCACGCACCTATCAATTACAAAGGTCAACACAAGGATATTGCGTTAGATGCAAAAGTTACATCTTTTATAATTAGACATTAGTCTTATTTGCAAATAAGAATGTACAAAAATTAATTTTAGTTCTAGATGGAGTTCCTAAGTTTAGTTCCTTGGTTGCCTGGGTCCGGACCTTAGAAACTGCCCACTCCACCAAGCTGACTGATTCGTCTGTTTTATTTGACCTTCAACTTCTAAATTCTAATCAGTTAATTCTTAAGTCCAAGTGGAAGTTTGTGCCAAATTTGAGGATACTCCCTCAAGGCCTTCTTGAGATATTGCGTCCTTGAGAATGTGACAGATGGGGTCACAGTGACCTTTACCCTTAACCACTAAATTGTAATAACTTCATCCTTGACTTATAAAGTGCCAAAATTAATGTGCCAAATTTGAAGAAATTTACTCTTGAAGATATTACCTCCACAAAAATGAGATGGATGCAAGGTCACATTGACCTTGACCTTTGACAACCAAAATCAAATCAGTTCATTGTTTACTCCAAAAAAGCATTTGTACCAAATCTTCCTCAAAGTGTTCTTGAGATATCGCGTATAAAAGAATGAGACAGATGAGGTCACAGTGACCTTGACCTTTGACCATCAATATCGAATCAGTCCATTGCTAGGTCCAAGTGGATGTTTGTGCCAAACTTGAAGAAATTCCCTCGAGGCATTTTTGAGAATGCCATGGCTATACACAGCGTGGAGGCATAATAGAAAACAATCCAATGAGCTTCAAGGGGGATGAATAATGAACCAATCAACAAAGGAACCATCGTCGTTGTCAAGCTGTTTTCAAGCTGTTGTCAAGTATTCTCAAGTGATGCACTAATACCAATGAGGACGAATACTAACAATGGCGAGCACTATAGACTATTGTGGCTATTCTAACGCAATGTTCTCTCAATGACGTCCAACATCATAGTTTGTTGTACTCTGTCCACTCAAATCTCATAAATGCAAAACACTGATGGCATGGCCACGAATCAGTGTGAACTTAAAATTACATTAGATTCGGGCAGATACTTCGGTCCCTATTGACTGATGAGGAAAAATCAAATCCCTCTCCCCCACTGAAATGGGTTAGTGTGGATCTCGTTAAAAGGATGATCTCTATGTCCAACATCCATGAGCAAAATACTCAACTGTGAAGTGGCTTTTTATGTAAAAATAATACCATGATGGGGCAATGCTGTCAGCACCAGTTTCCTTCAGCTAACATTATGTACAGTATGTTGGTAAAGGTAGTTACTTTATGTAGGCTTCTGTGCTGCTGGGTCCTTTGAGCTGGTCTTCCATCAGGTATGTGTTGTGTGACGAGGAGATGTAGTAATGGTTGAGGGGCTGGTGCATGTCCTGATACACCTGTTTGTGGGCCGGGTTGAGGATGGAGCCCTCCTCCTGGTGCAAGTACATCAGGAAGCCATCTTTGGTCATGTGCTTCTTCTGCTTCGCTGGTGGACAGAGGACACGATGAGTACGATACAATATGTGGAGTGTGACCGTTTGTCTTTCAGTACTGTGTAGTGTTGTATAAAACCCCCAAAGACTTAACCCTACCTGTCTCATCCACCTCGTATTTTTCAATCAGCTTTAGTGCATCCTGCATGGACGCCTGCTCCCTCTGCTCATTCAACAGGAAGTTCAGTAGGTCTCTGGCGCTCATCTGACCCTCTGTTTGAGCGTAGCTCTCATAAATTACGTCTATCTCCTCCCGCTTCGTCAGCAGGTCGTAGAAGTGCTTGATCTCTGAGCCCTCCAGGGAGCCTGAATTTGACTTGTCACATTTCTGTGTAACATGAGACATGATGGGACAATCAGTTAAACAGATATACTAGATTTTAAGTTTCACAGATGACAGATTATTATGGGGAACATGTTGATCTGCTGGATACAATCGCACTTTGGGACCTACCTTGAAAATTTCTGCTGCTTAAGTGTCGTCCACTTCGACATTGATCTGTCTCAGGAAGTGTTTCAGCTCCTTCAGGGTCATCTTGTTGTCCTCATTCTTATCTGCTTTCCGCATGCAGTTGATGAGCCAACTGGCGTTAAGATGTAAGGATTATATTTGAACTAATTAAAAACAAAACAACACACCTGGGACTGTAAAAAGCACTTGTCGCCTCTCATGGGTTCAACAGAACGTTTAAGAAACATGTATGCAAGACTTTGTCAAGGATACTGCTCACTCTTCTGCTGGCGGCTGAGGTTACGCATGTTGCTCATGACCTTATCCAGGCCGTTGACCCACTGTTTCGCCTCCATCTCATTGGTCGCCATCAGGTCGAGATTCTTCTTGCGGCCCTTGAAGATGATGGAGAAGCAATGGTTTTCGACACTGGGCTCGGTGTGTTTGTTTAGCCCCTCGGACTGACGGCCCTTGCGCACTGAATCAATGTCATCGATGGAGACTGTTTGGAGAGAGGAAGGTGTTGGTTAGAAATATCCCTCACAACCAGAGAAGCCAAGACTAGTCTTAACAATACTTAATCATGTTGTAAATGTCATATATTTAAATTTCAAGTTAAATTGAGATTGACATCCCGCTAGGATATGGAGTCAAGTCTCTATCTGTGAGTTTCATAAGACAATTAATTAAATGGTGGAAACTTCCAGTCTGGATTACAAACAAAATCAAATTATGTTTTTCTTTTTCTGTCAACAAAATCTAATATATTTTATTACATTAGATTACATTATAAATATATTTATAATAGTAAATTATTATAATTACATTACTGAGAAACAATCTTTAGCCATGTGTTGCCATTTAGAACAGGCCAAAACATCCAGAAAATGATATAATTTCTGTCATTCAGCCTTTAATCTGAAGAGGAAAACAGTTGCACGTACACTTCAAGGCTGTCATCAACAGTGGTAATACTCGCTAAGACCTTTCTAGAACCATATACAGTTTTGAGAGTGATATTTGTTTACAGCTGTGAACTAGCTTGCAGTCACAGTTGAAGTAAAACTTTAAGATCCTTCCGTGGGCAAGTCAGTATCTTGCGGCAGCAGACTTTTGGTCCTGACGGGCACAACCACACAGAGCGCCACAAACTACTTAAACATCTTATCTATGTGTGGTGGCTCGCGTCTGTGGCCTTCACCACAAGGCACAACACAGCAGACAGAGACATAAAAACTTTTCAGTGACAGCCTTCAAGCACACTGAATGTTTGGAGGATGGAAAAGAATAAGCTTCTGCATATGGTCAGAAAAGTTAAACTGGTTTTGGGGCTGATATCGCCATAACAAACAGTTGTACTTGTACACATCCAGCAGACACACAGCAACATTAGCATTCATTTAGATTGGTCTTTTTTAGCCACCTTGCATTCCAGAAAACTGGGAACTTAAAAATTTCCAACCTCCTAAGGAAAGTACATTGGTTCAAGGCCCAGACATGCAGAGAGCCCCACCACCTCTCCTATGTAGGAGCAAGACACACTGACTTTACAGGTGTTTAGCCTTTTTCTGTTGTTGTTTTGCATCTACTTGTTGTTGTTGTTGCGCATCTCTCTGTGGTTCTGAATCTCTTTGTAGTCATTTTGTGTCTCTTTGTAGCTGCTTTGTAATAATTTTGTATCCCTGTGATCATTTTCCTCCTTTCCGTAGGCCTTGTGAGTCCCTCTGTGTCTCTTTGCAGCTGTTTTGCATCTCTGTGTAGTTGTTTTATATCTCTTTGTGGGGTTTTTGTGTGTTTGTGGCCATTTTGAGTCTCCTCCTGGTACCTGTCTCTTCGGGTGACATTTTGTAGTTGAAGGCCGGGGAGGGCAGGGCTGAGACTTTGGAAACCTGGGCCTTTGCCCGGTAGGACCTGTTTAGGATTCAATACATGCCAACATCGTGGAGAAGCAGTTGTCTGACATCACACAACAACTGTTGTAAATAGTTAACTATCAACTAAAAGGCTTAAAGTATAACTTAAAGTATGTTTTCCTGTATTTAATTAAAATAATATATAGTAAAACCTGGTCTGCATGAAAACTGATGTCAAAATATGTTACTTTAGGTTACTTTAAACGGTCTCTTACAGTTATCTTCTATGCACAAAGGTTACTCCATAAAACATTAAAATGCCAAAATGTACTTATATATGCAAGGAGCTGTACTACTGAGAGTTCAATTGTGTGTACACTTGCCATAGAAACATCAGTTTGTCACTGTCAGCTATATTTTTTGTTTATGCTTTGTGTTGTGCACCTGGGACGCCTGGAGGTCAAAAGTTGGAAATATCAACTGGAAATTCCAACCTTTGACTTTGACTGCAACACGGCACGAATATTCACTCTCCTTCTATCTCTGTTTTGTCTCCAACACGTCCTGAGGGAAATATGTGGGTTTTACCTTTTAAATGCACCACTGAGTTTACTATGTTAGCCAGCCTCTGACTTTGTCCGCTGCTGTTTGGTGCTGGGCAGCGTACAGTGGATTTACTTAAGCTTTTCAATCAAAACAAAGTAAAAAAGTGAAGCAAAACAGTGAAGATGTGGGCTGTAAAAACCAAAACAAAGAGGTGAAAGATGCCAAAACACTCCTTAGAGCTAAGAGGAACTGCAGAGTTGTTGTTTTTTGTCACTACTAGCAACCTGTTTTACATTACATACAGTCATTTGATCCATTGCTAACACAGACGTATTGACTTAGCAGCTTTAGCAGTTGAAAGACTTTATATAGTCTGACACAAATTAAAATATTTCTCTTCCCAAAGATGAGGAATGCAAATTGTGTTGTTTGGTCCATGCAGGAATGAAGAGATATGAAATTATACAACAGCATTCTTTCTTAATATCCAACACACAGCAAACAAACATGTTACATAACAACAGTAAATCAAGCCTGAATCTTGTTTACCAAAAACTAAACTAAGCAACAGTTTTAGTTGAAGAACCCTCTGAGACGGTTTAAGAGATGGCCTTTGGACATTTTGTTGTTGTCAGCTGTACACTTAGATACTTTGGCAACCCAAACACGTTCCATGGAGATTTGATAAGTGCACTTAAAAACAGTTTGATGCAATCTGACCTCGCTTGATCTCCTCGCCTCACAAGCTGGCACACATGGGCAGCACGAGAAATACTAGGATCGGCAATTCTAAGATGAAAACATGTTGTATGAGACACCCACACACAAACAACACACACTGAAGGTCCCTGCACACACAGCCTTTTTCACCCATACGTTGGGGTCCGGCTCTGTTGTGGAGCAGCTTAATGTACGGAAGAGCGCGCACTGCCACGCATGATCTAATCACACTAAATGGCAACAACCGCCCTTGTAACAAAACCCCAAAGACCAGAGGCTTAGCTAAGAGGCCATATGTTGAAGCTGGGTTACAATCACAGTGTTTCCACCCTTCACATCCCGAGGCCGCAGGCTCTAATGAAGAGCCACCATTGTTGCTGTGAGAGTCGGAGACTATCTAGAGGCAGGACGGATTAAAGGTCAGACTACTTGGAGAGAAAGACACATCAGTGTGGGGGTGGTGTGGAGAAACACACCCAAGGCTTGGTGGTGTATATTCAGCTGACTGCTGGATGAACAAAATACCTTGGAGGCACTCACCAGAAGGGGAGTGTTTGTTCAATCAGCAAATGCACATTATCCCCAGCAAAACAGACCACTGTAGAGGAGTTTAGGGTTGTGAATTTGGATCATTTTCAGAGAATCCCATCGCTCCACAAAGTCCAAGTCATGTCATCCGTGTCACGCCAACATTGCTTAAATACCAGACGAAATTTCATACAATGAGATTATTGTGCAAGTGCAGAGATCATGCCGCTGTTTGTTAAATCTCTTTTCTTCAAAGGGAAGACAGCTTTTAGCAGTGAAGAGGGTGCTCTCTAGCAGGGCCGTGATCACCTAGGGACATTTCTAACGCAACCCTCAAGGAGAGTCTGGGGACAATTTCCCCAAGAGAATTTAAAAAAAACTTACAGCTAAACAAAATATTTTAAAGCATTTTGAAAGAAAAATCTTAGATCAGGGGTTCTCAAAGTTTTGATGACAGAGGGCCTTTTTAGGGAGCCGACATATAAATGATGGCTGCACAGGAACACTGTAACTTTTTTGTCAGTTATACTATGACATTTTAAATGACTTTTTATGACATACTGACACTTGACAAACTTCTTAATACGTTTAAAAGTAATGTAATAGAGAGACAGTTCAGTATTTGACATTGATTGTGCCTACCCACAGCAGTCAAGCAATGACTTCTGCTGGGGTACGGTAACACCACAGAGTCGTATAAATAACAATTTGTTACGTTTATGTATGAAAATGATTACATTGGTTAATGTGCCATATCATCTTGTTCATGATAATACTGGTCTAGTTTTTAATATAATATGAAAAATTCATCGTGATACTAGTGATATTTCGACCTGTTGACATATTGGTGGCAACAACAACCATGGCTGAAAGCAAAATAACTACTGACTGCGGTGGTTCCAAAAGGAGGAGCAGCCTCAGTAGTGTGGAATAAACTGTGGCATCCTTAGGCCTGGGCATCCTGAATGTTTTATGAATAGCCCCGGACTTCTCAGACTCTTTTAGCGTGTTACAGCTCAGAGAACTCATTCAGCAGCTCCTCTGGCAGCAGCAGAGCGTCTCTACCTCTCCTCTTTCACTGTGTGCACACGGGAGTCAGTGTTGTCAAGTGATTTTGTCATAAACCTTTGGAAACGTAAGCACTTGTGGCTCGACAATTTACTACATATATGTGAATGTGTGATAGTTCTGGTAACATAACAGCCTGTCACAGGTTACAGCGTCAGTGTGTGAATGTAAGTTTATGGTTAATGTTTAGCTTGGTTTCAAGGAGGGAAAATAACAGCTGAAAATTATTATTCACAAAATAAATTTTGTGGAATGGCATGCAATAGAGTAACTGCCTACCTACAACATTTTGTGTACTTGTTTGAATAAACTCATAGTGATTACTGTTCAGTCAGTTTGATCTGGTAAGTGCAAATATTATTACTGTTGGAGTTTTTATGTCTGTGACAAATAGCAGACTGGCAGGAATATGAGGGAAGTGTTTCCTGAGATATGTGTGTCATCTTTACAGTGGAATGCAAAGCCTCTGTCATTCACCTCATGTGACCCTGACAGTGTGTACGTGCACGGCAAATGACAGTCACACAGTGTGGGGAAAAGGAAAACAGAGGCTTTACAGTCTGTTGATGAGAAGTGATCCACAGCGGAGGACTTTCTCTGACTCATTTACAGGATGATTTACTGGCGCTACATCGCGATTTGTTTGTAGGATTGTCACAACTTCTGCTTAAGTAAAGCTGCAGATGGACCTCAAACAAAAAGTGGTTAAACAATACGTGCTGTCCCCCCACACTCTCCAACTTCACGTAAGAGCTGTTTAGAGCTGATTGTTAATTGCGACTTGCTAAAGCCCACAGGAAGCATTAAAACTTATTTCCGTAAACAGGGAAATGCCTACAGACTCAAGGCCCATCTCTAAGCGAGTTTGGTAATGTCAAAAAACAGCTTTGACACATGACCGTTTACACGACTGCATCACTCAATATCACGTCTACGGCGTCCGCATTGGCACTGCTCTGTCTTTCAGAGTTTGTTTAAGGCTCCGGCTCGGGGCAGAGGTTATCAAGGCTGGTAGCAGCAGCCGCCACCAGGATGGGAGGGAGATCAGAGCTACCAGAGGCCCTGAGGACGTATATATACTTTCACACCCTGACAGTGAATCGCTAAACCAGAAATCAGAGGAAGATAATCTCTCTCACACACACATGGACAAACACTAGCGTTTTCCACCCTGTCTTTGGCCACACTGCAGTATCTGCGTGTCGTTTCTGTTTCACCACCGCTCTTCACATATTCTGGAGCACCAGTGGGAACTGAGGGGTGTGTTAGCAAGATGCTATTGTTGAGATCTGAAAGGAGAACTCTATGTTGACAGAATAATAGCAGATGGATGTGCAGCTCAAAAAGGCAGCAGGATGAACCAGAACAAGTAAAATAACTTACAGAAACAAGAACCCAGAAGAATTTTAGGCTTTACTAAATCCCTTCTTGCCCACACACAAAAAAATATACAGTAGAAGTCAAGGTGGCACTCACAAGTCTGGTTTCGCCTGAATCTTTTGTGGGATTCATGCCACAACGTCTTGCAGTCTTCCTGCAGTTTGAAGAAGCGGACCTTCTTCCAGGATTTCGAGCGAATCTTGATCAGCTCCCCGCCGACCAGCAGGAACTGCAGATCTGGATCTCCCTCCAAACCTGCAGAGGTCATACACAAATCTTATGTGAGATGCACCAGCAAGGAGAGTCTCTAAAGAGGGAGATTATGGCATTGTTGAGGGAAGATACATGTTCATAAGTTTCCAGTACACTTCTGAAATGTTTGTGAGGTTTTCATCCTCCAGGGTGTTACATTTCCATAAAGTTGGGGCACTCACAAGAGACAGATTGAAAAAGAGAACAGTCAAAGTCATTGTGGAGGTCGAGATATCTTGACCTTACTGGGTTAAGCTCCAAAAAAGCTGGATCTGCATTTCCAATAATGCAACCAATAGCATCAAACATAGCAGAGTTTGACCCTTCACTTTGCAACACTGATATAATGGATGTTTTGTCCATTCTCCAAGGCCAAGGCTCTGCAAGGATTATCTTAGTATTATCTTGCGTAACATTCGATCAAATCCAAGTGCGCTCACAGTGCAGGAGGAAGGGAAAAAGTTGAGATAGCGTTTATTCCAAAATTTAAATCACAACATGGCAGGTGAACATCAGGCTGGTGCAAGTGATGCACCATAATTCATACATAACCCACGTCATCATGAGCCAGTATTTCGTGTACACCCTACATTGAAGACCATCTGAGAATAACTTTAACACGGCTGTCCTCTCACAGACTGCAAGCAGAAATGGGGAGGCGGAGCCATACACCACAAGAACATGTGTGTTGCTGGAAGATTGGCATACAAAATAAAGAACATAGGCCACAATACATCAGCTACACTGCCTGTTTCTCCCCTGTTTTTTTTTGTTTGTTTGTTTATTTGTTTGTTTGTTTTTCCTCCTTCTTCTCCGCATGCACTGTCACTATATAACTCAGGACTTAAGCACCTGCCCCCTCCCCCTTACTTGTTTCCTTACTTTCCCCTTGACACACTTTGGTGTATCACGGCCCTCTCTTGCTCATATTAGGAAGTTTTTCCAATAAAGGCTGTTAGGCTAGTCTCCAGTGAGGGTGGGTGACGGTCACAACCACGCATTATGGGTATAAAATACTTGACTGCAAGATTAATAGTGCATCAATCTTCACAAGAAGCTTACACCCTTTAGTGGCGCTAAGCTATGAAGACCAATGCAGACAAGTAGGAGAAAAAATAAATAAATAAAGAACATATACTTGTGTGCCCTCTTACATAGGATACCTGTGAGAAATATGGTCATGACTCTATTGAAATGAGCTCACTCTTTGTGGACACTGATAAAAGAATCTTAGTCATGTTACATGCATGTCCTGCGGACGTTACTTGAGCGACAGCAGGGCTCTACTGAATAATGAGACTCTGTTGTTAGGTGTATTACCTTTTAATTTTTTTATTAATGTTTGTTTGTTTGTGTCGATAAAATAACTAACTAACTAACTAACTAACTAACTAACTAACTATCATCTATGTAATCGCGATGGCTGCGATCATGTGACTAATGCGCCGAAGGGAGTAAAGAAGTAAGTAGTATTAAGAGTGAAAGTCAGCTTAAGGGGTAAAGTTGGGGTGGTGGTTGGTTCAAACAAAAATTGTGCATAGCATTAGTTTAGGCAGGCCACGATGTCGAGCTCAGCTCACATCCCAGCTACAAAGCTGATCTCAAACAGCCCAATCAACTGATAGAGCAGCTGATTGATGAAGGGAGTCAGCTGGTAGATCACATGATTCCTTTCTATGCAACCAATTGACAAATCTCATTCAGGGCGCTCTATTTAAACTGCTCTGGCCTGCCTACTGTTGTCTGACTTATTAATATTTCTGTTTGTCATTGATGTTGCTCTGTTCTGTTGCTGAGGGGTCTTTGCTGATGCTCTCCCTGCCTTAGGTTTTACATGCAGGCGCATGGAAGGGCAGGGAAGTTTGCTCTTTTTGCCTCAGGCTTTCCTCATTTTTGCACATGGAAGGGCAGAGAGGTGTGCTCTCTCTGCCTTAGGCTTTCATAATTTTTCCACATGGAAAGGCAGGAGGTGTGCTCTCTCTCCCTGAGGCTTTCCACATCAGCACATGGAAGGGCAGGGAGGTTTGCTATCTCTGCCTTAAGACTTTTCACATAGCTGTGTGGAAGAGGCTTTTTGCGTAGGCCTAGGAATGGCAGAGGGGCCCTAGAACAGAGCCACACTACCAAATATAGTACTGCAAATGGAAAGTAAGTTTTCTTTAACTAAAGTGTTCCTGACTGAAATAGGACTTTCCCCCGGAAGACCAGTGTTTGGGACTGTGTGAAACCAAGTGAACTTTGAGTTATTTTAAGGAACATCATCAACATGTTTCTTTTCCTAAAACTACGCAACTTTTCGCTTAGTACATAATGTCATACGTTGTCATAACATAATTCTTTAGATATCATACCAACCATTGTACGAGGATATGTTGGAGAACTTACAGACAGATATAGTATGTGCCAAATACAGATGTGTGATCTGGCCACAGACTTCCTGTTGTATATTTTTAGTCTCCGAGCTCAAACTGGAGTAACCCTGATAATATCAGTTGGGTTACATTATCAGATTTTATCTCCCTCCAGAGACATAGAGGTGATTACACTGATATACTTTTCTCACTGTTTAGCATTCGTTGAGTAAATGGACTTCTATGAGTAAAATCAGTGAAGTGGCCCTTAAAGTAGACACTGCTTGTCCCTTTATAACTTAGCTTGGCTATGACACCTGGTTTTCACCAAGGATTGTTAGAAGAATTGTATTTTTATGGGGTTTCAGGACTAGTTTTTCTTGCTTCCTCGTGGGACATTTTCCATATTTATATGTTTTACTATTCATTTAATTTTGTCTGAAAAGGGCCCTGTAGTTTTTAAGGATGGAAATTTGAACACTGTCAGCTCACTGTGAATCTTGTCACAGTCACAGTGTTCCCAACATGACCTGTGAGTACGTCTGTACTTAGCTCTGAGTGTACAGCTGTAACAGCGGCTTATCATTCAGGTGAAGTAATCCGCTGATTACTGCTTTCTTGGAAGGGTGTGTAACATCTGTAGGAGGTCACAGGACAATGTTGGCAAGACAATGTTTATTTGTTTTCCATGTGTGCAGATTTGAGGTAATGCTGTTGTTAGTCAGTGTTCGTGGGTGGGACTGAACTTTGCACGCAGCTTCATGCATCATCCGAGCTTAAAATGATCATTAAATATAACACAGAGCAGCTGTGTACAAGCATTAATGTCCTCTCAGTAAGCAAAAGGGCATTTGAGGATAAATACATTCACTACAACCCAGCAGAGATTGTGTCAGGGTCGTGGGCAGCACCACAACATTACAGACATTTTTTTCCCCGGATCGCACCACAGCCTCACAGAGCCTGTTTATGAGCCTCTGACCTCTCTGCAGTCAGGGAGGAGGACTGGGCAGAGCGGCTCGAGAGCTCCAGCACCGCCTCTGCTCTGTCAGGCTTTCCATCGGGGGCTTACCTCCCCTCAGAGAGTAGTGGCAGCTTCTACTTGTTTGTCAACTCCTTTTTTCGTGTTATCTGTTTCACCGTGGAGACAACGTTTGAAGTCACCAATGTTACTGAAGAACAACAACAAATATTTCCCATATCATAAACATGAGTCACACTGAGCATCTGGGGGGATTTCATGAGAATCAGATGGGTTTTCTTTTTCCATTTTTTGCAGAGTAATCAGTTTCAGATGCAGAGCTGCCTACACCCTGTGAGCAAGCTAGGGCAAGAAGATGGCAGGAATTAAAGTGAAATGCCCTTGAGGAATTGGGTAATGATAAGGTTTCTCACACAACCTGAGAGGGGGGGGGGGGGGGGTTGTTTTGTATTTTCCAGTAGGAAAATAACATATCTTTGGAAACAGATGCTCCAAAAGTCCTATTTATGGATGCTACATAGGAAGCTTGAGCAAGATAGGGCAACAAGTTGTCACTATATTAAATCATGTGTGGCTGGAGGGTTGAATTTCCTCTTATGTATCAGTTATAGCCACATTTAATGACTGTAGTGGAGCTTTGTAACAGTTGTATTGTGCTCTGCTCGCCTCTCTTTGAACATGACCAATAAAACTTGAAGCTACATTGTTTTAAATGACTCAAAGTGAGAGGTACATATGACAATAAACACCCCAGGGGAGATCCCCTTTTGTTCATGTAGCTTTTTTACAGGTTCCTTCCTGTAAAGACACAAAGGTTGCATGCCATGCCATTTTCAGCTGCCCTCCTCTGAGCTGTCATCATGGCAGAAAGCAAAGAATCCACCGCTCCAGGCAATGAGGAAGCCTGAAGCCTCTCTCCTGCATTGCACATATAGCATGTTATCTCCCTGCAACACAACAGCAACACACCTAAGACTCAGTGATTTATGTTGACAAGATTAACATCTCCCAAAATCCAGATTATGTAGTCTAAACATTATTTCTGTGCGCGCGCCTGTCCGTGTCCGGCAAAACAATCAGGGCGTCATTGCGCGTCGTTAAGCCCAGGCACTTCTGCACCTTTGGGGGACTCACCTAGACGCTTTCCGTTCTCCTGCGCAACTTTTTTCATCTGCTCCTGGAAAGCCTGCTCCTGGGATTTCGTCCTTTTCGGGCGTTTGTGTAAACAAGACATTGTGGAATAACTTTTTTAAAGAGTAAAAACATGAAAATATCCAGTCGGGGTTAAATGTGTGCTCTGTGTGGAGGAGAGGCAGACACCACCACATAGTTCCCCCCTCATGGGGCGGGTCTAAACTCATCTACTGCTCTGTTATATGCCCTGTAACGGTGCCTGCCCTGTGCACACATGAGAGGAAGGTTGGGGGTAAAGGTCTATATAATCATATAGCCTTACATTCAATTAAAAAAAAATCCCATTGTAGTGGGATTGGACACTTGCGTTGTGCTCCGATGATGCATTCAGGAACTTTAGAAAAACATTGAATCTTACTTCCTTGCAGTAATTATGAGTCACTCTGAGGATGATTTCATATGCTTCAAAAAAGTGACATATAGGCTACATTATGACTTTAAATGAATGTTGCATTGCCTTGCCATAACTCATGTGTCTTATCTTTATGGTATAGTCTTGCCTGCACATGTAGTTTTGCTTCCAAACATAATTGGCACACTAAAATCTTATAGCTGGAATAATGAGCTGTGAAATAGCGCCATCCCATGGTGAATACACGTCTACTGTGCTTGTGCCTGATTCGCTAAATCTGTGAAAATCATTTGCAAGCATTCTGGCTGTGGTCAGAGATGAAACCTGCGTGTGATTCCCTCTGCGTGTAACATGATATTGTCATGGCAACAACAAACAAACAAACAAAAAACCCACAGCCCTCACCCTGGATATAGGGGTGACAAATTTGTTGTAAAGCAACCTGGTGTTGCGTCAACAGCAGCCTTTGGGTATATGTTGGGAGGTATTTGACGCCCATCCGGGTACCCAAACCACAAATAAAAACAAAAAAATAGATAAATAGAAATAAATTTAAAAAATGTATGCACCTATTTTTACCTTTACAAACTTCTATTTGTTGATACAGACCTCAAAAATAATGTCACTAAAACACAAGTGAATTTACGCATAGGCTACTGAACATTTCCACCCCACATGGCAAACACTTCAGCAGGTGAGCTCTTGTTTAAATAGCTTTTACAAAGTAGAAATTAACAGGCAGTGTTGTAAATCTGTGCGTCACCAACTCACCATATTTCCCAGCTGTGCCATTTGACTCCATTCTCACTTCAGTCAAAACAAACCACCACTCTCCGGGCTTAAATCCTCTTCTCCTCCACAGCTGTGTCACCTATATTATATTAAAGGGAGTTATCCCAACCATAAAACTTGTCTGCTTGTCCTGTGGAGGGAAAGATCCAACCTGTGTCCCCCTGTGAGCCGACCCACACAGTGCGCAGTCAAAGCCAGCCCATTGGCTTCTTATGCGCCATCAGTCCACACCCACTGCAACACCGGTCTGACAAGTCCACCACTGTGTTTACTCTTATTACATTCATTCATCTGCAGCTCAGTAGAAACTACACCTTTGGATGGAATTCTCCCAATAGAGAAAATAAACACTCACATAAGGTCAGCTGTAGACTCTGATAAGATAGTGTTAAATTGAGGATTTATTGTAAATGCATTAAGTCAGTGCTGTGATTTTATACACCATCCTGGCGCCTACAGTGATCTGATTTATGTAGGGTGTTGCCCTGGTCTGGTACAGACCTACCATTTATAGTCTGAGGTGTGTCTGTTCTCTCTAACTCGTTACACTGCATGGTTAATACTGGGAATGTCATCACACCACGTCTGAAGTCATAAGGTCTTTACGCCATCTAGGCCCATTGACAGCAGCTGAAGGCGTTGATCCTTGGTAGATGTTTCAGCACAGTTGATTCAAACAGAAAAATGTGCTAAAACAACAAGGCAAAGCTAAATGAGCAGGTGTTGGTTATCATGCATGCCTAGTCCATCTCTTGCGATCACAGAAGTGCTCTTTTTGGCCACTGGCGAGCTCATAGATAGGTCCATTTTGTTGTTGTTGTTGGTGATGGTGTCATTAATATGGCAGGATACTTTAAAGTAGCTGTAAGTAAATGGAATCTGCATTGAACCCACAAGCTCCAGTGTAATATACTGTATTAGGGCTCAGACAGATCATGCTTTGTGTGTCTCTATTATGAGTGTCTGCCAGCCTGTTCTGCCCTATGAGCTCTCGTGCTGGGGCAAGTCTTGGGAAGAAAAAAAAACAAGGAGCTCTGTCTGGCAAATTCACAACAATCGGCTCTTTGAGAATCCCACTTAAACATCGCATGAGCTGATCAGCACAGTAAAGGATTGGTTTTGTGTGTCTTTGGAATCTTTACCTCCTAAATGAAACACATCAGCTTAAGTGTGTATTTTATAAGCATTACTTCTTACACAGGAACTGCTCTTTTTGCATAAGGCCACAGGCGGGTGCTTTGTTTGAGCTCTGCAGGGCTTTGAAAAGATTTTGCATGACACAATTTGCAGACAGAAACTATCCTGAAGGAGTTTTTGTACTTTTCCGTCGTACACGGACGGCAAGCTGTGCTTTCTAGGTAGCTTTGTGGAAAACAGAGGCGATGCCACACCTCGTGACGGTGCAGTATGCTGGTGTGATTGTTGAATAAACATGCTGCATCTGATCTCCCTGGACGGTCTGGCTCATATGGTTCAGTGTGTCAGGTGAGAGTCAGTAAGTGCTGCAGAAAATCAGACATTCCTTGTTAATTAAATGAGTTGAATGTCAATAGGCCATCAATCAATCATAATAGGCCTACTCAACAATTATCTTTGAACAATTTAGCCTTTTTAGTTGATGTTTCAGTGGAATTTAAGACAGCAGGGTCAGTTTTGTTCTTTAGTTGATGTTTTTGCAGCTTATATTCCCAGGGGTATATTTATGTAGCCCATTTATATAGTTTTATAGGAGTTTGTTATATCAGTGGTGGAGACTAAATACACACATTTTCTCAAGTACAGTACTCAAGTGCAATTTTCAGGTAGGCTTGTACTTAAGTTGAGTATTTGTAATTTATTTGATATTCTGATATATATTTAGAACATGTAAAAAAGACACAAACATACAAACGAGCAGACAGACAGGAAGAAAGTTTTTACAAATAATGAAAAGCATAATGAAAAGAAATTGTCAGTGTATAGTGACTTTGATTTACACATTCATAAAGGAGTGGGAGGAAGTATAACCTTATTGAATCCACTTCTCCATGAGTCATTGAGTGAAATGAAACAGACAGCTTTCTTATATAGATAAAACTATACCTTAGGCCTTTTTAAATATACAGATCTAAATACCATTTAATTGTGTCACACAAATAACCCATGTATATGTAATGTATATATAGTATTAATTAGAAATATAGGCTACAATACCATACCATAGTATTAGTTTATGTTTCTTTATACTTCCACTATACTACATTGAAGAGGGACATGTTGTAGGCTACGTTTTACTTCACGAAAAGAAGAAGAAAATCCGCACACTGAATTAGAGCTCCCAGTAGGTTTTAATGACTAAAAAAGCAACGTTTCGACCCAAATGGTCTTCCTCAGGCAACTTCAAAAGAATGAAATGGCAGGTGGCGGGTATACATATAGGCTAAGAGCCAGGTGTCATCCCACCCACGTCATCTGCCAATCAAACAATCAGACAGTCGTTCAAGTAAGCCATATATAGGCATATGATGGCTACTTAGTATTCACAAAGGATTTGCATATCGATAAATGCAAAGAATACAGATATACAAAATAAACAAATTGTTATTGGGGAACACACAATACAAAAGAGACAACTTTACTATTAGACAAGAAACTTTTTAGAATATTTTAGTAAATATTTTAAGATTTTTTATAGTTTTGTAGAAACAAACAAAACAAACAAACATGGGATTGCAGTTTTAAAAAAGAGTAGCCTACGGTTTTAAACAGGAACACTGCTTGGAGAATAACAACACCAAATGTACGTTTTACTTCACTACATTTATCCTGACAGCTTAGTTTCTAGTGTAAAATTGTACTTAAAAATGAATAAATAAAATGAAATAAAATGATGCCATACAACACATTTTGTGAAAAGATTAAACCAGTGGTTCCTAAACGTATTGGCTTGTTTACATTATTCAGATCAAATGTACAAAAATAAAGGCTGTGTAATGATTAAAAAAATATTTGTTTGTTTGTTTGGGCCACAAAATAACATTTAAAGTTAAATATTTAATGTCTATTCAGTGATTTCCTGCCTGAGTGGAACACAACAGCGGATGTACCTTTGGCTGTCGCTATGGCAACCACCGGTACACTAAAATGGCGGAGGAGCAGCAAGCAGTGAAGGGGTTCAATAAAATTAGCTAACTTTTAGCGACTTATTTAGCGATACTGTGTCCATAGGTTATCTTTGGAAGTTTAATAATTCGTGAAACTCTTCCTGCAAACGCCACATGTCTGTTTTGACGTTGAATATACGCGCTAATTAACTTTTTCCACGTAAGTTTACGCTAATTAACCAACTTACTTACAATTAGCATAACGTTAGCTGTTTACCAACGTGTAACATTAGCTACACGAGTGGCTCGGTGCTTCTGTACCATGTCGGAGGAGCCAGAGACGGGAGAAAAATCCCGGTTTGATCCGTGTGTGAACACCCACAGACCGACATCAGGAAAGTCACAGGTATGAACACCAGCTGCTGAGAACACTGACACTTGACTCAATAAGCATCAATAGACTCAGGTGTGTGGAATGGATCCTTCGTCTCTGGCTGGCTGCAGGAGCAAACCGTTTTGTTTTTTTGTTTTTTTGTTTTTTTTACCGGCAGTTAGATAAACATTTCCTGCAATTAAACTGGTGAACTGGTTTATAAACAGTGTGCTGTCAGATCTGCCGCTGTACACCTCAAAACCGTGCGTAATAGTCGCGCATAATGGCCGCTCCTCGTCAGTTAAACTGCACGTCTTTCATGTTTGTCTCACTGACAGGTGGAGAGCCTACAGACAGGTACCCATTAGCTACAAGCCGCTCCTTCACAACCGTGCGTAATAGTCGCTGTAACGACCGCTCCTTGTCAGTTAAACTGCACGTCTTTCATGTTTGTCTCACTGACAGGTGGAGAGCCTACAGATATTAACTACGAGCTGCTCCGCCACTGACTGCT